TTTTTTTATATTTTTTCTATCAAGTTTTCCGTTGCGCTTTTCGAGCCAAGAAACGTGCCCTGGCAGCGGCGATAGCGTCCTCCTTGCTCGGTTTCGCCTCTTCGCACTGGTCTTTCGGTGGCTCGGCCTTGGTACTAACCTCCTTGCGCTCTGGCGAAGACCGTCTACCCTCGTCTGGTTGCTTGTTGCTTCTCGTTTTCTTGTTCGCAGGTTCGTCAACAGGAGTGTTTGTTGTTTCACGTTCATGGTTGTCAAGTTCACGCTCGCGTCCTCGCTCAGCTCTAGCCGGTTCCTCGCTAGTTGTCGCATCATCTCGTGCCTCTTTAGCTGTGTACGCACTTCGCGCATTGTCCGTCGAGCCACCCATCGCGATGTTCTTATTGAGATTAGCGTAAAAGCCTGCCATTGCATGCTCGCCCTGCTTAGTGACGTCTTCTTGCTCCTCCACGGCAGCAAGCCGCGCGTCCTCTGCATCCCAGCGCTGCATTTCCTGTAGTTTTCTCTTATACGAGGCTGAAACGAGCTTCTCTTTGTCTCCGTACAGCGCATCGTCAGCCTTGCGCTCATTGAGCAGTCGGCGCTCGCGAATGCGCTCGTTCTCGACCTCTCGGATCTTTGCTTGTTGCAGCAATGTGCTAATGTATTTGGGCTTCTTCTTCTCCTCTTCTCTCTTAACGGCGCGCTTCTCAGCTTCAGTCTCCCGCGCGCTCTTCATGTCGTCGTACACTGCGTCGTAGTCGAAGACGGAGGCGTCTTCAGCCAGAGCTTGGGCGCGCACCTTATCCACTTGGCTCTGCTGCAGACTGCGGGCTGCTTCAGCTCCGACTCGACGTATTGCATCCTTTTCGCTCTCTTCTGTCTTCTCCTTACTGCTCCTTCCAGCTGCAGCTGCGAATACATTGAAACTTGTCGAGATTTCCTGGCAGATTGATACATGGTTGTTCAGAGTGATTACGCGAAGACGGGAGCGAGAGAGAGAGTGAAACTTGCATGTATACCTTCTTCTTTGCATCCTTTTTCGGGAGAACCAGCCCGTACTGCTTTGTTCCAGACGCAAAGGGCGCAGCGAGCGGCTTCTTCTTGTTCTTGCCGGTCGATATCTTCATGGAGAACGCCATCACAACTCAAAATGGGTCAATGGAGCTAAAACGATGGCAAAAAAGGGCAACAATACTCGTTAAAGTACGATAAATAAAAATTAAAGACAACAATTATTGTCAAGACAATTAAAATTGCAAAGGGCGGAATAAGTGTTTGAACTTTCATCGTGTTAATGGTCGGTGCA